CTCTCTCTCTCTCTCTCTCTCTCTCTCTCTCTCTCTCTCTTTCTCTCTCTCTCTCTCTCTCACACACACACACACACACACACACACACACGTACGTACGTACGTACATCTCCCGAGTTTCGTGGATGGTTGTCCCTTAAGACCTGTTCTCACACTTTTCCCTTCACGTAGTCTACGGGGATTCTCAGTCACCTAGGTGCTTTTTCAGGCGGCAAATGGACTTCCTTGTTTTTCTCTTTGAAGATGTTTTACTTTTCATCCAAGAAACTTCTTTCAGTTCTGACTGGATGGTGGCTGGATTTTCCACTCAGTCCATTTCCCACCATCCAATTACAGCTGAAGAAGCTTCTTGGATGGGAAGCCAAATGTCTTCAAAGACAAAACAGGTAAGCCCAGTTGCCTCCTGAAAAAGCACCTGTGGGTTTCCCTTAATTTATCTGCGTCCAGTTCTGGTTGACCCCAGATACAAAAAAAGATGTTGAGTTTTAGAAAGAGTGCAGAGAAGAGCAACAAAGATGATTATGGGGCTGGACTGCAGGCTGAAGCATTCAGGGATCAGTTATGGCAGCTGGGTATGGCTCAGGACTAGGGGTGACGGGAGAGCACTCTTCCACCACTTGAGAGACTGTCATAGAGAAGAAGAGGGGGAACCAATTATCCAAAGTAACTGAGAGCAGGACAAGAAGTAAGGGGTGGAACTTTATTTAAAAAGATGCACACCTAGAATTTCCTGACAGTGAGAACAATTAATCAGTGGAATGGCTTGCCTCCAGAAGTTGTGGGGAGGTTTTCAAGAAGAGGTAGGGCAACTGTTTTTCTGGAATGATGCAGGGTTTCCTGCTCTAGCAGGAGGTTAGACCAGAAGACCTTAAAGGTCCTTTCCAACCTGTTGTTCTATGTCTTGGTTCCCCAAAATCACACTTTCGAGTTGGGAGAATCTTTAAGTCCCTTTCCAAACAGGTGCTACACAGTATGCAGAATTGTATTGTAATGGAATGTAGGCAAGTCTGGTAGTAAGAAAAAATACTTGCTTAAGTAATAAGGTATTTTCCTTTGAAGCAATAAGAGAGGTAAAAGAGTGCAGGAAAGTTAAACTGCCTTCCCATTAGCCCTTTGAGGATGCGTTGGCTCAGTGGCTAAGACACTGAGCTTGTCGATCAGAAAGGTCAGTAGTTCAGTGGTTTGAATCCCTAGTGTCGCCTAATGGAGTGAGCTCCCATTACTTGTCCCACCTCCTGCCAACCTAGCAGTTCGAAAGCATGTAAAAAATGCAAGTAGAAAAATAGGAACCACCTTGGGTGGGAAGGTAACAGCATTTTGTCTGCCTTCGGCATTTAGTCATGCCGGCCACATGAACATGGAGAAGTCTTCGACAGTGCTGGCTCTTTGGCTTTGAAATAGAGATGAGCACAAACACCCCTAGAGTCGGGAATGACTAGCACATGTATGTGAAGGGGACCTTTATCTTTACCTTAGATCAGAAAACAGGCTCCAGGGGGGGCGGGGAATCAAGATGAGCTAACAGAATTTGGCAGGTTTGATTGGTTTTTCTTTCTGCCAATCTTCTGCCAATCTTACACCCCAGTTAGGAAGGAACTAGCCTATGCTTCTTCCTAATAATCTCCTTTTCCCCAAGGCTTAAGGGAGACTTCTGCTCATTTAATTTTTGTATCAGTTTCTGAATACTGGAATTCTATAGTAAAGCCTTCTCTAGGGACTCTTTCTCAAGTTTCACTAAAATGTTCTTCCCTCCTGAAACCAATGAAGCAATTTGTTTTGCAAAGCTCAATTGTTTTTATTTGGGCTTGTAGCCAAAGGTTAATGTTTTCATTTCTCATGGCACCCCCAG